GGAGGGAGGGGAAAAATGAGGACCTAATGTCGGGGGGTTAAATGGAGAGAAAATGTTTTGAGAAACGATGTACAAATGCGCTTTACACGATTGATGTGTGTATGGATTGGGATAACAGTTGTATGAGCCCCTAATAAAATGTTAAAAAAAAAAAAGACATGAGGCTCACTGAGCAGAGGCTCCAGAGTCCAGTCTTCTGTGATGGTGCGCGTTGCCTCAGAAACACACTGAATGTTCTCGGCTCTCTTCTCTTTATTTTATAATCAGACAGCCAATATGTACTGATTGCCAAATGGACACAGAGCACTGTTATAAAACAGTGGGGAGGGAAAACACAACCAGAAGAAAAGCTGAGCAGTTGAAAGCAAATTCCCTTAACCCTTTGTCCTCACATTCTCATTACAGAAGCATAAAAATACGTATGCACACACGCATTTGTGAGTCCCCCAATGACAAGTTGGTTCTGACTCATATTGACCTTATATAGGATTTCTGAGGGCACAGGTCTTTGTGAGAGCTGAAAGCCTCATCTTTCTCCACAGAGCAGCTGTGGGGTTTGTGCTGTTACTTGGAGGTTGGCAATCCAGTGCTTAGCTGAGGCTGCCACCAGGGCGCCCAGATAGACAGACAGAACATCTGGTTGCTGATCATCTCTAAATGATTTGGCATTATTAACCCCTGGGTAAAAATGAACGCTTATAGGGCTGGGACCATCAACTTCTGTTGCAAGCATTAGAATTACAATGCTCCCTTGTTAGGGCAGATACATGCCTTCCATAGCAGAAGCTGCAGTAAATGCCGAGTGAATCTGCACACCAAAGCCCCGAGCTATTGGCGGCTGGCTGTAGAGATCGCTGAACTCACTGAGACTAGCTTTAGTGTGTGCTCAGACCTAGTTTCTTCTCGCAGAGTTAGTTGTACAGCGTCCCTCACAGACAGCCAAAGTGAATGGCAGTGTGAATGGTAGCAATCTCCATTTCTTCATCAAAGGGGGGCTTCCTAGGTAACCTCGGCAGGACTGAGTTTGTCCTCTAAGCCTCTGGCTAATGTTCAGAGTGCTTCCTTTTTTTTTTTTAATCATTTTATTGGGGGCTCATACAACTCTTATCACAATCCATACATACATCAATTGTGTATAGCGCATTTGTACATTCATTG